CACATAGCAATACTTGGCAACAGCAGGGTGAAAAAACCTCCAGCAGAACCAGTCTTCCAAATCTGAGAGCTTAAAATAAAACCTGCAGCTCACACAGGATTTAGAAATAACACACAAAAACATTCAAAGTAAGCAGTTTACATATGTAGGATATACATTTTCACACAAAAATACAACAAATAAAATAATAGCACACACCACCACTCAAAATGTAATGATCAAACCACAGAGGCTCGTGATATATGGAGGTGAAGGCTCATGACAGAGACATGAAACAACCTTTAAAGTAGTTGGTAACAATAAGTAAAGCTGCTATCATCTCGTGTTCAAACTGTGACATCCTTGGCAACAGGACAAAGGCAAAGCAAACATTATTTATACATTCAAATGATTGTCCAAGTTTATGGCAAATGCACATGTATGCCAGAGTGTACAAAAATCCTGATTATGTGAGTTTAGTCTTAAAACACAGCTGCAACTTACAAATAACACCGAGTGAGAGTTATTTTGTCTTACCTGAGGAACAGAGGGGAAAAAACATTTAAAGCATTAAAAACTGATTAATGAAATGGATAAAGTGAAGCTACACTCCACTGCTTTGTTCTCAGCTACAACCTTAAATGCAAGCACCATAAAGAAAAAAAAAGAAAAAAAAAAAAGATATCAGTTCCCCCAAAAAAAGTAAAATGTGGACATTATGTAAAGTTTTGGATTGTTTTTGTTTTTTTACTATATAGTCAATACATACATTTTTAGAAAAAATCTGTAATACAAGAGTAAATTGTTTTTTAAAAAGACTATTTTAAAATGAATAAAACAGGGGAAATCTGTCACATAACAGTAAGTTGTGTTTCACAAGTACATTTAAAAGCAGAAAAAAAACATAAAATTTTTTTTCAGTGTAGAGGTATTTAAAAAAAAAAAAACACTTAATACTGCACAGTTCATTCGCAATGCATTTTTCTTTCAAAGAAAGAAGACATAAAACACTACTGGGGGGTCTGGCCATGTGCCAACATCGTGTGAATAACGGCTCCTGTCCTATGGATCTATCACCACAACTTACTAGCAAAGACCTAAAAAATAATGTGTGAATATTACACAGTACAATCTAGATCTGAAAAAGACGAATCAACTCTGACTCACTTGAATTTTCAGCGTGCTCTTTACATAAAGTTTAGTTTCTCTGAGGTGTAAACGCTGCAGAGAGTTGTGTCTGAGCTAAGGGGTAGAGTAGAGGAAGTCAGTCCTTTCAGCTCAAACCGAGGATCTGAGTCCAAGGAGAGAAAGTCTGAGGCGGCTGAGGGAGCTGGAGCAGATCCTCCTGGAGGAGCAACCTGGAGACAAAAGGGAAACTAAGGTTGTGCAACACCTTCAATGTGTAGAAAGAGTCTGCCTTAGATCAAAGACTCTCTTGTTCCTTGATTTTTTAGCATGTAGAGAGGATTCTTGTATGTTTATGTATTTACCTGCAGCGGAGAGGGTGTTACAAGGACGGCCGTTGGCTGGTAGTACACCTGTAAGGTAAAGAAAAAACCAGTCAGCGCTGGCAAAAGGAGAACATTTTACAGGAATGAAAAGGAGGACAAAAGAAACTGGACAACCTTTATTTTGTTGGCCAACCATGTTCTAAGTTTTTGGTCTACAGTTCTAATGCTTAGGGATGGGGAAACAGAATGTTTAATGTTGCCATTGATTCAATGAGTACTGTGGGCTTTAATGTTCGTTTTTTTTAGTCTTTATTTGCATTATGGCAAAACGGCACCATTAAATGTCTGTTGTCATCGCACTCCAAAGAGGACCTCTTATTAGCTATTTCAGCAGCCACTTTGATACTAAAGAAAACTTTAAAATGTGAATCCTCAGGCAAGTTCTGCAGCTATAGGGAGAGTCTTATTGTTTATTATTTCTAAGCAGATTTATGACTGGCATTTTGAACTGGACATGAAAAATAGTATTATTTTCAGAAACTGTAAACCACATAGAAGATATAAGTTTTGACTCAGCAAAATAGTGTGACTTCTGAGGCAAACTGCAGCAATTTGCTAACGAATAGGCTTAAAACAATAGTCATGTGCCTCTATAGACTATGAACAAAGTTTTATTTAACATTTTAACTCCTCCCGTTCATACCGGCAAGAACCAAACCGAAACTGGATTTTTGGAGCAAATGGCAATTTTTAGGATTTAAAAAAATCGATATAGAGGCTGATATTTTTCATATGTTATATAGGAGCCAATTATCGCTCAGTTTAATAATTAGGAACTAATCTTGGTCTAGTCCGGTGCTCCATCCAGAAGGTAAACCGTTTTCTGACTGCTGAGGCAGCAAGTTGCTGTAATAGTTTCTGGTTCTGCGGGAATTATTTGAAATTTATTATAGAACAAGTGTAAGCTTAATTTAGATTTGTTTTATTTATTTATTTATTTTGAAAAAAGAAAATAAATACAGCACCCTCCATAATTATTGGCACCCCTTTGCTTCATCTCTATTTCTCCTTCACCTGTCCAGTGCACACCAAACTTTTAAAGCTTCTACATACCTGTCGCTCACGAGGGGCAGCTGTGGGTTGATGAGAGACAAATGAAGAAGACGGTACAGCTGAGTAACTTGGGCCTACAGGTTGACTCTCATCCTGTAATAGGAATAAGGATGTTGAAATTAACGTAGCAACGTATGTTAAAGCAGCAGCTCTGCATGCTCATTTGAAGAGATACTTACATGATAAGACACGGCAGGTGCTGCTGCAGTCTGAGGAGCAGACTTGTCTTTTTTACAGCACTTCTTTTTACAACAGAAGCAGCAACAGCAGAAAACTGCCAACAAGGCAGCTATGCCAATGTAAATTAAAATTTGTGTGGGAGGAGGATCGCCAGAATCTGAAAGAGCACAGAGGTGTTTAGGGGAGTGGCTGTGTTAGTTGGGATCAGCAGTACTGTCCCTACCGTAAGAAAAAATGTATGTTTTCTCACCATAGTCTTCTTTTTCTCGCACCACCAGGTGTGCAACCAAGGCCAGGTTGCCTTCCTTGTCTGTGAACTCATAGGTGCCAGAGTTTCTGCTTTCCAAAGAATAGATTTTTGGGCCTTCACTTGATGTATCCAATCTCCACCTGAACCGGTCTTCTGTATGCTCACTGCCATTCTTGATCAGTGTTATTTTGCTAAATTCCCCTGCAGGCTGGAAAGTCACAAACCATGCGCCGTTGTCCCACGGATATTCAAAGATCACGTTTTTGTCCACCACTTTATGATAGTGTCTGATGTTTTCTGTGAGTGACAAAGGTTGAACAGACTGTGAAAACACATATAATCTGGTACATGGCAGTTGAAAATCTCCTGTGCGACTTCTACTAAGCTCCTGACATCACCTTTTACAGTGAGATGGATCCTGGACAGCAAAGTGTTGTCTTTCTTCCTAATGTTGTAGAAGCCATTTTCTGACTGTGCAACGTTCGACACTTGCCAGGAATTTCCAGACACCCGTCCTCTGTTTCCACTTTTGACCAGAGGGTTTGAGCGATTCCACAGGACCACTGGTGGGTCCACACTGTTAGGGGGCGTGAACTCAAATAATGCCGCCCCTCTGGGAAAAGATAGGGTCCAAAATTCCCCATATTTTTTTTTTACCTCATCAGCACAATCTAAAAATACCCAGTAAAAAAAACAAACAAATAAAACAGGGTTGGTTTATTTTATAGTTCACATAGCAAAAAGAAATACTTAGCTCTACAAATACTTTGTGATGGGATAGACATGTAAAGTATATTGCATTCTAAGAAAAGTGTCACAAAAATGTAGCCTCACACGGCGCACCACATAAGTAGAAACTACACTTTATGATCAAAACTGCACTAATTTATCAAGGGCGCCACTCAGATTTTTAATTTGACTATCTGAAAGACATTTATCAGGAATATTCTGGATTGAATACTGATAAAATATCAAATCTACTCATATTGATCAGTCTTATAATCGGAAATGTCAATTGTGAGGAAGTGTGGCTCTCCTCACAGTTGACACTGTATAACTCTTATCAGGTTCTGGTACAGGTAGAAGACGTCCTGTTGTCTCCAAGAGGACTGCAAGTGGTCATTCTGAAGTAAACATCTGATATGCAGATGCTCCATTTGGATGTGAGTTTTGGATTGGACGTCTTCTGAAATGGTCTACTATCAACTTTACAGCTCTGAAAATAAGGTCTCTAGATTCTCTGTGTGTTGCTTTGGAATGTGTCTGTTGTTCTGCCCCTCAGTCCACGACCGAAGACATCACCCCTTAAAATTGTACTTGTGGTCCAAATAACCTAAGTATATGACAATATTGTTTTATCAAATAACAGTTCAGCCATGAATGTTATGTTCATCAAACTGTTGTATAAAAGCTGCAGGTGCTCTATCAACTATTTACATATATTGTATCTTTTATGTTTGTAATGCTAGTCATTAATGTCACAGACCACTGTAAAAAATAAAAAGGTTCGAAATATGATGCATTTTCTTTAAACACCAGTGTGAAAAGTTCTCACCCAAAACCTTCAGCTTGAAACTCCAAGACTGTCTCTGCGGATCAGATAACTTGGAATAAGTTCCCTCATCTCCTTTGTTCAGATCTGTCAAAGTAGCTGAGTAAATCGAAACTTTGAGGCGCGGTTCCATTGACTGAAAGGTGGACAACACAAAAACATTTGCTCAGGATAGAGGACAGATTCTGTCTGTGTCAGTTATTTTCCTAATTAATCGATTAGTTCTTTGGTTGGTAAAATGTTTGGTGAAAAGTGTCAGTCAGTGTTTCCCAAAGGTCAAGATTACGTCCTCAATTGTCTTGTTTTTTTACACAATCCAAAAACATTCAGTTTACTGTCACAGAAGAGTAAATTTATGAGAATTTGGAAGAAAAAAATAAATACTTAAACCAGTTACTTAGTTATCACAATAGTTACCAACTGATTCAAAAGCTGACAACTGACGTGTTGCATTAATTGTTGCATCTCTACACAGCAGTAATGATCACAGTATAAACCAGAGCACCAGAAGCTGCTCACCATCCCTTTATCCATCACTGTTCTTGTGGATCCCCTTCGACTGGGCTCCAAGATCAACGGTCCGTCATATAAAGGTGGGCCAAAGCCAAGTGGTATCGAAAAGCTCTTTCCATAACAGGCTTCATGCTGAACAGCAGATGAACCTTCGATCATAAAGATGCGAGACAAGGAGAGACAGGTGGAGGAAATATGAAGATCAGTCAGAAACAAAGCATCCAAGAACATGTAGGCCACGCCCATAAATCTGACACTTTTTTGGCCATCAAGCGTGAGTTTTGGCATTTTTAGAAAAACATCTACTTACTTAACCACTATGGTGAAATTCAAATTAAGTTATGAAAGTTGAAGGCTTGTTGTTTAGACTATGGAAAGAAAAGAGCAGTTGGTCTTGTAATTACTTCTGTGTAATGCAGCTTGGAGCTCATTATTTCAGCTAAAAGCTGAACAGCTATCACATAACACTCTACATGAGAAGTAAACTTATTGTCAACTAAAGAGGTGAAATTAATGAATATGAAGTCAAATACAGAGATAAATAAGTCAATTTAGCTGTTACATTTTTAAAAAGGATGCATAAAAAGTGACAGTATAGCTATACAACATAAAGTTTGTGTTAAATTTGTAGATGTAGTGTACAGTCGTCCTCAAATGTATTCATACCCTCCCATTAAAGAAGGAAAAAGCTGTCACTGAAATAAGTTGAAATTGATAAGAATAATAAGAAATAAAAAAAATAATGAAAAGCACGACATTGTTTTTGAATTGTGGTTGAACAGAAATATTAAAAACAAACAAAAAAACAAGCAAACAAGCATGATGGGACCTGTAAACTAATATTTTGTTGAACCTTTGAGGCAATCACTGCAATCAAGTGTTTTCTGTAACTGTCAGTCAGACTTCTGCACCTGTTGACAGCTATTTTGATTTTTGGTCCACTGCTCATCAGCAAAGTGTACCAATTTGTCTGGGACAGTTTTGTTTTTGGTTTTTTAAATTATTCTTTCAACCACAATTCAAAAGCAACGTCTTATTTCACTAAATTATAATTTAGGAATTTTTTATTTATTATTACCTTTTTCCGTTTCTAGTTATTTCAGCAACTATTGTGACTTTTGCCTTTTCTTTAATGGAACGGTATGAATAAATCTGAGGATGACTGTACATATCACAAAATGCAGTTAATTCAACTAAACTAAATTAATGTCTCATCTATATATAAAGTTCATTTCTACATTTGTTTATGAATCCATGGTTTCTGCTGCTTTTTTTTAATCAGTTATTTCCCAAGGAGACACTTCTGGCCAAATGCACCAAACAGTTGCTACAGAACTGGCAGGTCATGGGTGTTGTTCTTGTGTTTTGTATTTGGGACAGAAAACAAGTTGCTTAGTATCGTCAAAGTTAATCCCAAAACACTGTTCCGCTTCGTGTGTAGAGTGTGCTTGTGTGAACTAGTTCTACTCACCGAAGAAGAAAGTGAAAACTGTCAGAAGCAGCAGCAACATGTTCCACAGAGCGCACGGGTTGTCCTGTTGTTCCCGTCACTTCTAACCAAGATGTTGTGAAGGTGCCTGAAGTGAGAGTAACCCTCCCGATGGATCCACCAGAAACCGACGCTACTCAGGCAGGAATCTAGACATCGAGCTCAAACTATACGTCAAATATTTTTTTATGATCACTGCAAAGAAGCGACTGCAACTTCCTGTTAGTGATCGGACCGAGTTCGTGTGTTGCTCTATTGGTGTTCCGTGACAGTCAGACGTGAAACTGGGCGAGGCTTCACATGGAAGAGGAGGGTCTCACATGTTGATTCTGTGACTGCAGATAAAGGGCATTTACGAGAAGAAGAAAAACAAAAAAGAAAACACGTTTCTTCTACACAACATTGCAGTGGTTTAACTTGTTTTCTTGTGAAATCTTTAAGGCCCTTTTTAGTCATTTGCCAAAAGTGACGCTGTTATAAACACTGACCACGAGCTGTTTTATATGTTGTCTCTGCAGGCTGCTGTATTTACTTCGTAGACGTTTGTGTACACTTAACAAGACAATTGTTCTCTTGTATTACTATTTAAAACCAATTTTCCCGGATAATATACCACACTTTTATTTCCATTCATACACTTTGTGCATAAATATAAGTTAAATTATTGTACATTAAATAAAAAAGAATTTTATATATTTACATGCAATTATATAAATGTGCTTCGTGTGTTTTTATTTCAAAACTGAGCTCATGTTGTGCATTTCACATACTACTCAATGGTTTACTCTTATACAAGATATTTGTACGATCATATTCATATATATCAATAGAATACATTTTATAAAAATCTAGATATATAGTACCATACTTTATATATCATATTTTGAATATAGTAGCAATAGATAAAAGATATATAACATCAATATCAATTATTTTAAATATTTTCATTTCCCCATGAATAATAAATTTTAATTCATATACATTACGTAACTTAATTATGTGTGTGTGTTGAATGATTTAAGCATTTGGAAATTGTATTTTAATATTTTATTAACAAGTGTAGAATATAATATGTAGTGTTATCACATTAATATACATTATATTATACACAATATATGCAAATACTTCATTGTTACATTATTAATAAGTTCCTATTAATATATATAACTTAGGTTAATACTAAAAGAATATATACAATTATATAAATGTGTATCACGTATTTCATATACTGATGGCTGGTTTAGTCTTTAGAATGCATCAGATTGTCTGAGCTCATATTTGTACGCAAAATGGTATCTGACAAGTGAATTCAGCTGTCTCATATATATGTAGTAAAAGTAAAGGAGTAAAAGTACAATAAATCCCCCGAAAACAGTGGAGTAAAGTGGCACAGAATGCAAACACTGCAGTGTGTAGTCTATGATAAAACATTTCTCTGCAGAAAAAGCTTAATTCCTTCATTCAGTTCGATTTAGTGACTGTCCCTTCTCTCGCTATATTTATGCACAGGTCAATAATAACGCAACAAAATGACGCACTTTGCGTAGGAGCGGCTGAGAATACGAACTGGCCGCAGCAGCAGCCGAGAGGGGGTCAGTGCGCATGCGCGGTCTGCGGAGAACGTTCATATCCTCTTATATCCATCAGCAGAAACGCTGACAAACATTCAGCGGTGGACGCGGTTTGCACACATGCTGCAGGTGAGCTCACGGTCAAATGCGTCACCGACTGTGTGATCGTGTATCAATAATCGATGAAGGGTTCGCTTAATAGGCCGCTGCGGCGCTGTGCGTGTTGCTGGGAGGCGATAGAAACATGTTGGACACCTGATAAGAGCTGACTTCAGGGCATGTTGGGTGACAGCGCTGATGCTTTTTTTTGCATGCGTCCGACCAGGCTGCAGTGTTTGGCTCTGCACTGACGCACACATCACATTACATCAGCTGCCTCTTGTGCAGCTTGTTGGTTGATGGTCGAGGGTGGGGACGAATGTCAATGATGTTTACAGATGAAACAATCTGCTGTCTTTCCCAGGAGAAGATGTCCTCCTGGGTCCTCCTCACTGCACTGTTCACCCTCCCTTTGGCTGCAGGTCAGTTTTTAAATGGAATTTAAATGTCTTTAGCCTTTATGCTTTGCAAGTTCTGGCTTAAATGTTCATTATTTAATCATTTACTTGTGCTTTGTATGACAAGTGTCTATTAAATCAGCAGCTGAAGTTAGATAGTCATCTGCAACATAAGTGCAAATGCATCTGATAGTCAATAATGAAGGATTCTTAACTAAATCTGTAAAATTGTCTGTTTTAAATGTGGATTAGCTGTTCATTCACCTAATTCAATTCAAGTGTATTCACATGGTGTCATTTCACAACATGCATCATCTCAAGGTACTTCACATACTAAGGTAAAGGCCCAGTTTATACAGAGAAACCAAACAAATCCAAAGTTTCCTTTAGATTCTCTTCGAGCAGCATTTTGGCAGCAGCCAGGAGAAAAAAACCTCCAGCAGAACCAGGCTCAGGGAGAGCGGCCATCTGCCTCCACGAGTTGGGATTAGGGTACAGAGAAGAGAGAACATGAGAACAGATGGAGACCAAACAAACAACACATAACAGAACAATAAACACTTTGGAGAGGCCAGTAACTGCAGATCAGAGACGTGCAGCTCCAGATCCAGAGAAGCTAAAACACAAACCAGAAGAGAAAGAAGGTACAAAATTAGTGATGTGCGATGGTGGCGTGTATATCTATGGAGAGAGAAAAACGTGAGATGAAAGTGGAGTAGAGGTGCTCAGCGCATCATGCGAGGCCTGTAGCAGCATAACTAACTTTAGGTTTTATGAATTCAGTTTATTTATGGACCATCAAATCATAACATGTGTCATCTCAGACCTCACAAGGCCTAAAAAAGGATGATGATCCTATGATCTGCAGCTCCTTCCAGAAAGTCAGATGTCAAAAAGTCCATTGGAGGTTTTTTTTTTTTTTTCCAGAACAGTGTCAGAAAAAAAAAATCCCAAAATGATTTGTCAGCCAACTGATTGCTGATTTTTTTTTAAAAATGAGTAAAAGGATTGACACATGAGTGGATTCTTTGTTGTTTTTGGATTTCTGGAGTGATGCCTGGCTTTCTTTGTAGATAAAGTGAATATTACTGACTCAAAGTTCAGTGCAAATCAGAACAGGATATGGACAGTGGAATCCTTTTCAGCCCTGAAACATTAATAATCACACATCAGATATACATATTAATTAAAAAGAGAGGAAAATATATATAGAACTATGATTAATACTTAAGTTTTTTAAGCTGTAGGTGAACAAATTGTGCTTCGTGAAGGTATAAAAATAGTTTATTAAACATATAAAGAGGAACAGTCATTTATATTATTGCACTTGTAATTGTTAGCATAGAGCTTGTCATAAAGAGCTAAAAAGGGCAAATCAATTCCCAACTCTAAATCCTGACTTTTAACAATTCACGCGAATAAAGCATTTTTGCTTTGTAGTTTTTAAATCTTTACAGATTTGACTGATTAACTCTTTTAGAAAGTGCTACCATTATATACAGTGATATCTCACTCTATGTAAGATCCAAACCCTGTGTTAGATAACTAATCATGTTAATTATACTCTTCCCACAGGTTGGGAATTACTCGGTGAGTCAAAAGCAACATTTCATCCTCCACCTGGAACACATGCAGAGGTCTCTGAACAGGTTGTTGACATTCTTTATCATCTAAACAGGCGAAAGAGAAAAAATCCAGACGGTGTGTGTCGGGAAGGAGTTTCGTCTGCCAGTGGACTCGACATCTAGAATTGTGACTTTTACTCCAGATGCTGAGGGTCCAAGACGCATCCTGCTGGAGAAAACCACGGTGAGTGTCAGTGTGTCGGTGGTTGTGTTGTAGTGTTTGTTTGTTGTGTTGCCTAAACCTGTTTACTGCACTCCTACAGGTAAAGGACCCGCGGTTCGAGTGGACCAGAGACAAGACGTTGGTCCTGAAAGAAGTGACTCACAGCGACCAGGGACTTTATGCCAACAAACTGTCCATTGGATTCACCTACGAGACTGTTCACCTCATTGTTTCAGGTATATTTTCCACCCGTTAGTGAAGTCCAGCTGTGTTTTTTAATGACACACCAGAGTTATAGCGTGTCCATCACTTGACTCTTTGATCCTTCTTCCTCGTCTGATCATCACATGTATTTATACCCCTAATTTAATACAAGTACAAATACAAGTAGAACATTATACTTGAGTAAAAGCACAGAGATATTATCAGCAAAACATACTTTAAGTATCAAAAGTGAAAGATGTTATTATTTATGCCATTATTAGACTGTTGATATGACTGTACCATTACTGATGTATGTTAAAGCAGCATTTCACTGTTGTAGCTGTTGCAAGGTTTAGTTACTTCATGAGCATTTAGGTAGTTTAGTCTAGTTGTTTTCAACTTCAGGGTCACAAAATATATCACATAGGTTCTGAGATAGCAGAAGAACCAATTTAAAAAGAAAAAGAATTTAAATGTGATCAAATTTGCCGGGAAAATACTATGCAAGTTCTTTAGTGAAACTGCGCACAACTCAGAGACATGAAATGTGATGAAGGGCACCAGACACATTTTTTGTGAAGGAATGTAGTGGAATAAAAATCCCAATGACTTCCTTTGAAATAGGCAAAAAATAGCATTTTAAATACTCAGTGACAGCATCTCAAAATTGTACTTTACTTTCAGCTCCTCAGTAAATTTCCATTACTTCCTCAATATGTTTCAGAGTGCATTAAGCCCTACCGCAGAAACTATGGCGAGAACTTTGAGCACAGCATCCCCGAAAATGGCACCCTGCTGGAGTTTTCTCCTCGAGGTGCTCCGCCGGAGTCCATGCCGGTTGTTCTGTGGAACCGGACCGACCCTGAAACCAGCAACGCAGGCCGAGGGCGGCTGCTGCGAGCAGGGAAGGTCTGGGTGGCAGAGAGGGTCACGCAAGCCGATCAGGGCAATTACACTGTGAGAGACGACTCTGGGAAGGCGTTGTCTCGTAGCACCCTCAGCGTCCGTGGTGAGCAGAGGCCCAACACGAGTTTTCAGAAGCTGACTGATGAGTTTTTTTTAACTTTAGCATCGTGTGAGTGGTGATAATTTCATTTTTTCTTTTCCTTCTCCCGTGGTGCCCTCTCATACCTCCGCATTTCCTTCATTGTCCTCCACTCCTTCTTTGTTCATGATTCTGCACATGGATGCAGGGCACT